TGATTGGCTAATAATCACATGTAGATCTACAAATTGATCTACAAAGCTAGCCAATCAGACGAATTTCTGCCTATGACCAGATATCTAAATAATACGGATATCCGGATATACCGGATAACCACGCCTAACCGGATAACCTAGGATACACAAAGTCATATACATTTTTTACATTTTACCTACCGCTACTATATCGCTATATATCGATATAATTGGATACAACAAATCACATATTTGAATTTGTAGTCAACGCTTCATTATACTCAATTCGTAATGCGATGGTCTCCGTGTAGACATTTCGGTCATAATACCAAAATTATAGATGCTCATTGCAATTGTATATTGTCATTTAATTAACACTTCCTGGCAACATAAGATAATGCGTTTCTTTATTTTGAGTTAATCCATATACAATTAACTTCTCTAAGTGCAAGTTCTCATTAAATGCAATAAATAGTCGTGGCCCAAGTTGGGACTTACAAAATAAGTGCAAGATTTCTTTCAGCCAGCATATATTCTCTAGTTGCAAGATATATTACTGTATAAACCAATTAAATTGATTTATTTAATTACAAGTCTTTTTCTAAGTGCAAGTTATTTTTTTAACTTAACTTGCATTTAGAGAGAATTAATTATATAGTTTTCTTTAATTGCCCATTGACTTGCACTTAGAGAGAGTTGACTGTATCCCAAAATCACTACATCATGCTGTATATAGTATATAATTTACATAAAAAGTTCGACATGCCTTTTAAAATTCGAAAGTTTTCCTTATAATCTTATATAACAATCAATTTTGATACAATACATCATCAAAACAAACTCTATCTCGTGTTAGAGTTTTGTTGTATTAGATAATAAACATTTTATATATATACAGATATAGGTTGTAGATTTCTTCACTGCCGATTACGATTTAGAAACAAAAAGTGATAAATACGGCTACTAGATGATTCACATGCGTTTATAATTTGAATGACTTATCTTAAATGCATAGATTAACAAACGATCTATCACACACAATCTAAATTAACACGAATATAATGAAACTATAAGAGAGGTATTGTGAAATCATTAGATAACTTTTTTTTTTAAACGTTTCAATTAATTAATGTCTTTAACACTTCGTAATCGCCTGCTATATTGACGTAATAAAAATAGTATTACACTATATTGAGAAATTATTTAATATTAGCAACACTGCGGAAATCACAGATCAACGAGTCAGCCAGATAAACAGTGGGGGTTATCAGGCCAACCCCTATAATTTTTGTCGGAATTTTATAAAAACCAATATATGCGTTGATCACGTTACACTTGACTGATCGATATATATTTTTTTTATACCGCGATACCGATATTGATATAATTTACGTTGGATAGACGATGACCACTAACGTTAATGAATTTGAAGAGCCTTTCTTAGCCGATGAACAAATTCAATGTGATTCAATTATCTCATCACAGACTTCTTCCAAACTGCCCTCTCCTCTCGATAGTTTAAAAATTTCTTCTACCGAAGTACTTGAAAAAATTACTGAACGAACCCCTTGTCCAAAATGCGATAAACCAGTCAAATACTTTTGTTACTGGTGCTATATAATTGTTGGCTGCGATAGTAGCGAATTACCAAGAGTGAAGTTACCAATTAAAATTGATGTGTGGGATTTTACTCTTTTTTTCTTTATTATTAGCTTCATGTGGTCCAAGAGCATAGTTTGTGGTGAGATTTCAGGCTTCAAGTTGTACTAACGGTTCTTTTTTTTTTCGAAAATTAATTATTTCATCGTACCCTTCCTTTTAAAAGAATTAAACATCATAAAGAAAAAGATGGTAAATCAACGGTTGCTCATGCAAAAATAATAGCACCGGATGACGTTGAAATTATTTCTTATTCACAAATGTCAAAAATTGAAAACCCGGGCCGTACGTTGTTACTTTTTCCTGGTCCGGTAAATATTATAATATTTTACTCCTTTTTTTAAATATCAATTCTTTAAATTATATACTTATACTATAATGATTTGTTCTAATCATAATAGAACTCCAAAACATTACAAGAAATACCAAGATCCTCATTTGATAAACTCTTAGTAGTAGATGGTACATGGCGGCAGGCTTCAAATATGGCGAGGACCAATCCTGAACTGAAAAATATTCGTAAAGTCACTATAAACCCGCAAAAAACATTATTCTGGAGATATCAAAATAAAGATGAATATCATTTAGCCACTATCGAAGCTCTTTACTATTTTTTGAAAGAATATAACGAAGTTTATGAAATTCCAGAAGAAACTATTCATTCTGATGTTAGTGGATATGATGGAAGATATGACAACTTGTTATGGTATTTTAAATATTTTTATGAATTTATTCAGACTACTTATAGAAAACAAAAAGGAAAAAAGAATTTTACTACTAGACAACGCGAAGGTTACATTCGATATGAGTAAATTGTTCTAGCATTAATTTGACAAGGTACAACATTATAAATAAATTCATTAAAATTATGAAAAAAGATGAGGAAATAATTCTTTCACTTGTCTAATTGTATCCTCAGGACTCTTGACTGAATGTCCTACGACCGACTTGTGGTTATAAATTTCCCAATCATTACCACCCTAAAATAAACATTATTATTTGTAATAAATAATGTAAATAACGTTAATAATGCAAATAATATAGATGAATAGAAACCATTGAAAGTCGAAAGAAAATATTACCTCATAAGCTTTATCACCAAAAAAGTGAATGGTCTTGAACCCTTCATTTTGAACATGCTTTAGGCAATAGGTTTTATCCCAGCCTATCAATTGATTAATTAAAATTACTTTATTATTATATTTCACCATCACGTGATATTGATATTGATATTTTGAACTATTATACCTGTCGGAAAAATGTCAATCGATATTTGTCCGCCTTAATTTACAAATTTAATATAAAACGGAAAATGCTTAATTCTTATTATTACAATCAGATAAATGGATAAACGCGTCATACCGATTGAGTAAGTGAGCGAAAAATCTTTAAATTCTTTCTTCAATGCCTCTACGAGTTTAGGGCGAATTTTATGGATCTAATAACAAATGCTGTATTAATATTAAATATCTTGATTAAATTTAGGTAAATAATCAGTCATACCTTATCGTATTCTTCAAATTTGTTTCGTTCTTCGACACTAAAAATAATAATTTGCATCACTTATTTTATCTTGTCTTCACTCCCAAATAATTTCAGATTTTGAGATACTTTACGTGCAATTACGTCCAACCGGTGCCACGTTGATCATACCATTTCTGAATTCGATGAATGTTCCACTATAACAATATTAATTTAGCAATGAATACTTTTTTGATTTATCATTTAAGTGTAATTTTACCGTTTAATTGGAATATCAATATCTGCTATGTATCGAAGAATAAAATTAACCAATTTTTTATATTTTTCTTCACCAAGCCATCCGATAAAACTCTATAAAAGACAAATTAATACCAATGTTAAATGTGGTGAAATATTTTTTGATTAAGATGTTTCTAAATTGTAAAAATAGACAAACCTGCGATTCCAGTTGTTCTCCCTTTCGGTATGCAATAAGTCCGTTTTCCGAAAATGCATAATCAAAATCTGAGAGTACTGTATAAAAGAATTCAGAATAAATTGTGAATAATGAATGCCTTAATTCGTAAAGAATCATTCAAGAAATAATTGTCTTACTACTAGGTCCAAGTTGCTCTTGTTGTTTTGCAAGATCA